CACTCCATGCAAAGGATCATTCTGGCCAGCAAAGCATGCCTTCTGCATGAGTGCCCTTTGCTGGCTTCGGAAGAGTTGTTTCTCCACAACTTAGATATTATAAAAAGAACATGCCAAACTTTATACGGTAGTTTCTGTGGATTCTGCAGCCTGGGGCTTCTTCCCAGCTGGCTCAGGCGTCTTATCTACAGACGTCTTATCCACAGATGTCTTATCCACAGCTGGGCCGTGGAACATGCCCCCATGCTCCCGCCAGTAGTAGCAAGGGGACAGCAAAGCCCAAAACATCACATAGCCTGCATGGACCTGGAAAGGAAGCAGCGGATCGTTGATGGGTTTGTAGAAGCAAAACCCAGCGATAACAGCTCCCAAATTTCCGCCAGCCCCAACCAGTGCAGACACCACGGCCAGCTGCTGCTTGTTCATGAAAGGCACAATCCCGTAGCTTGTACCTTCTGCCATCTGGACAAAGAGGGAGAAACAAATCAGCACGGCCAAGGCAACATACCATGGCTGCGAGCTGTCCACCATACCAAAGCAGAAGAGGAAGACCGCTTCAAAGAAAAGGGCCAAGAATTGCGCCCAAATGCGACCTCGGAAACCAACGTACTTGAAGAGGATGTCACTGGTGATGCCTCCCAGGGACCTAGCAAAGAGGTTCATGAGGCCAAAAGCTCCTGCCAAGGCTGATGCATCTGCCGCATCCATTTGGAAATAGGTCCTGAAATGGGTGGCCAGTTGGTTGTTCATGGCGAGTTCCGTGCCGAAACATGCACTGTATTGAAAAATCATCACAATGACGCGGATGTCTTTCAGCACCACGACATAGTCCCACAAAGATGGTTTCTGGGTCTTACCAGTCACAGACACATCGAAGCGCTTGGCCGTGGGTGTGTCCCAACACAAGAGTTTCATGGTGGCTGCGCAAATCAGGAAAAGGACAGCAGGAACGATCATGGCAACCCGCCAGGCAGTGTTTGCTGGCATGCCAGAACTCACCATAGGATTGAACAGCACAGAGATCATAAAAATCTGTGTAACACCGCCACCCAAGTTCCCCCAGCCAGCTGCTGTGGCATTGGCCGTGCCAACCACGTTTGGGGAAAACATCAAAGAGCACCAAAACTGGTTGGTGACAAAGGTAGCTCCTGCAGGGTTTGTCCTTCGAAAAATCCATTCAAATCGAATTTTTGACAATGGCCTATGGGTGCTGGAAAAATTGTTGTTTGGTAGTCGGTTGGCTGCTGGTGGTGGTGGTGGCTGGTGGCCGATGGGTGTGGACCGGTGGCATGCTCACTGCTAAATTTCATAAACCCTAGCCTCTATAGGAAAGAAAAAACAAAAAAACGTTATATATCTGCAGGTACCTGTCATAAGTTTTAAAACACTTAAAACGACTTAAACACAAACGGAAGACAACCGATAAGCTACTTAGCTAATTAGCTACTAAAGTGGAAACGAAAGAGTGTTTCGCCAAAAGATAATCCCAAAAAAAATATAGTTCCTTTTTTTTTCGGAACTATAATTTTCGAATCCTTTTTCAAAAGTGTTTCACCAAAATATATTTCAAACAAAAAATATAGTTCCTTAACTATAATTTTGAAATCCTTTTTCAAAAGTGTTTCACCAAAATATAATTCAAAAAAAAATATAGTTCCTTTTTTTCGGAACTATAATTTTCGAATCCTTGTTCAAAAGTGTTTCACCAAAATATAATTCCAAAAAATATAGTTCCTTTTTTTTCGGGAACTATAATTTTCGAATCCTTTTTCAAAAGTGTTTCACCAAAATATAATTCCAAAAAAAAAATATAGTTCCTTTTTTTTCGGGAACTATAATTTTCGAATCCTTGTTCAAAAGTGTTTCACCAAAATATAATTCCAAAAAAAAAATATAGTTCCTTTTTTTTCGGGAACTATAATTTTCGAATCCTTGTTCAAAAGTGTTTCACCAAAATATAATTCCAAAAAAAAAATATAGTTCCTTTTTTTTCGGGAACTATAATTTTCGAATCCTTGTTCAAAAGTGTTTCACCAAAATATAATTCCAAAAAAAAAATATAGTTCCTTTTTTTTCGGGAACTATAATTTTCGAATCCTTGTTCAAAAGTGTTTCACCAAAATATAATTCCAAAAAAAAAATATAGTTCCTTTTTTTTCGGGAACTATAATTTTCGAATCCTTGTTCAAAAGTGTTTCACCAAAATATAATTCAAAAAAAAAATATAGTTCCTTTTTTTCGGAACTATAATTTTGGAATCCTTTTTCAAAAGTGTTTCACCAAAATATAATTCAAAAAAAAAAATATAGTTCCTTTTTTTCCGGAACTATAATTTTCGAATCCTTGTTCAAAAGTGTTTCACCAAAATATAATTCCAAAAAATAATATAGTTCCTTTTCTTTCGGAACTATAATTTTCGAATCCTTTTTCAAAAGTGTTTCACCAAAATATAATTCCAACAAAAAATATAGTTCCTTTTTTTCGGAACTATAGTTTTGGAATCCTTTTTCAAAAGTGCTCCACCAAAGGATAATTCCAAAAAAAAAATAAAGTTCCTTTTTCTTTTCGGAACTATAATTTTGGAATCCTTTTCCAAAATTGTTTCACCAAAAAATAATTCCAAAAAAAAATATAGTTCCTTTTTTTTCGGAACTATAATTTTCGAATCCTTTTTCAAAAGTGTTTCACCAAAATATAATTCCAAAAAATAAATAGTTCCTTTTTTTCGGAACTATAGTTTTGGAATCCTTTTTCAAAAGTGTTTCACCAAAAAATAATTCCAAAAAAAAAATATAGTTCCTTTTTTTTCCGGAACTATAATTTTGGAATCCGTTTTCAAAAGTGCTCCACCAAAGGATAATTCCAAAAAAAAATATAGTTCCTTTTTTTTTCGGAACTATAATTTTGGAATCCTTTTCCAAAAGTGTTTCACCAAAATATAATTCCAAAATATAATTCCACAAAAAAAATATAGTTCCTTTTTTTTCGAAACTATAATTTTGAAATCCTTTTTCAAAAAATTTTTCACCAACATATAATTCCAAAACAAGTATAGTTCCTTTTTTTTTGGAACTATAATTTATAATGCTTTTTCCAGACATGTTGCTAATACATTGTCACCGTTTTGGAACCAATTTAGCTGGAAAAAACATTGTCTTGTATTAGCGCATAAGCACCTTGCTAATACTAAACAAGGTTTTTTTCAGCAAAATTGGTCCCAAAACGGTGACAATGTATTAGCAACATGTCTGGAAAAAAGCATTATAAATTATAGTTCCAAAAAAAAAGGAACTATATTTTTTTTGGAATTATATGTTGGTGAAACATTTTTTGAAAAAGGATTTCAAAATTATAGTTCCGAAAAAAAAAAAGGAACTTTTTTTTTTTGGAATTATTTTTTGGTGAAACACTTTTGAAAAAGGATTCGAAAATTATAGTTCCGAAAAAAAAGGAACTATATTTTTTTTGGAATTATATTTTGGTGAAACACTTTTGAAAAAGGATTCGAAAATTATAGTTCCGAAAAAAAAAAAGGAACTATATTTTTTTTTTTGAATTATATTTTGGTGAAACACTTTTGAAAAAGGATTCCAAAATTATAGTTCCGAAAAAAAAGGAACTATATTTTTTTTGGGGAATTATATTTTGGTGAAACACTTTTGAACAAGGATTCGAAAATTATAGTTCCCGAAAAAAAAGGAACTATATTTTTTTTTGGAATTATATTTTGGTGAAACACTTTTGAAAAAGGATTCCAAAATTATAGTTCCGGAAAAAAAAGGAACTATATTATTTTTTGGAATTGTCTTTTGGTGAAACACTTTTGAAAAAGGATTCCAAGATTATAGTTCCGAAAAAAAAAGGAACTATATTTTTTTTGGAATTATATGTTGGTGAAACACTTTTGAAAAAGGATTCGAAAATTATAGTTCAGAAAAAAAAGGAACTATATTTTTTTTTGGAATTATATTTTGGTGAAACACTTTTGAACAAGGATTCGAAAATTATAGTTCCGAAAAAAAAGGAACTATATTTTGTTTTTGAATTATATTTTGGTGAAACACTTTTGAAAAAGGATTCCAAAATTATAGTTCCGAAAAAAAAGGAACTATATTTTTTTTTGGAATTATATTTTGGTGAAACACTTTTGATAAAGGATTCCAAAATTATAGTTCCGAAAAAAAAGGAACTATATTTTTTTTGGAATTATATTTTGGTGAAACACTTTTGAAAAAGGATTCCAAAATTATAGTTCCAAGAAAAAGGAACTATAACTATATACTTTTTTTTGGAATTATATTTTGGTGAAACACTTTTGAAAAAGGATTCGGAAATTATAGTTCCGAAAAAAAAAGGAACTATATTTTTTTGGAATTATATTTTGGTGAAACACTTTGTGAAAAAGGATTCCAAAATTATAGTTCCGAGAAAAAAAAAGGAACTATAACAATATACTTTTTTTGGAATTATATTTCGGTGAAACACTTTTGAAAAAGGATTCCAAAAATTATAGTTCCGAAAAAAAAAAAAGGAACTATATTTTATTTGGAAGTATATTTTGGTGAAACACGTTTTCGTCTCCACTTTAGTAGCTAATTAGCTAAGTAGCTTATCGGTTGTCACATGTTTCCACTACATGCTGACTCAATAGCTGCAGTGGTTCGCGCGTATACAAACGGATAAATGTTTCCACTGCATGCTGAATCAATAGCTGCTATCTCAGCCTTCATTGCACACTAACAAGCCTTGGCCAGGAATATAACCCTTTTTTAAAAGTTTCCACCTGGAATTGCGCAATTTAGCAATGCTCACCCTCCGAATATTGGAAAAGAACTTGAACAAGTAATTAGCGTGAGCATAGAACACATCAGAAACGAGTCTTCCTGGAACAAGCTATACACATTGTCCATGGTCTGTACCACATCTTGGCACGATGATATTTGTTCTCAATCATGGTCCGTTTAAATATCGTTTGACCCAAGACTGAGACTGTCTGGGATTCATCCCGCTCCTGCGCACCCAATGAAGAAGCGGATCAAGGTGTAGTTCCAGGGCGCTGTAATGGCTGCAGCCATTGCAACCCAGAAAGCTCCAAAGGTCATCAGGCCTGATTGGACATTCACAGGCCCAAATCGCTCCAACAACGTGCCAAGTGCGATGCGTACGAAAATGGTCGATGCCACAGCAGCCACTCCTGCATTTGCGATGATGTCTTTGCACTCAGTTCCCGGGGTGCAAACACAGTCCGCCAGCACCCCCGGTCGGTACTGCATCTTCTCGTCTGCAGTCCCACTCGCTAAAATGTCCTGTGGCACGGGATTGCAGTCTGTGGGATTGGTGTCATCATTCTTGCCGTACTGGCAGTACGCTTTGCCTGTCTTGAGTGACTTGTACTTCAGGTAGGCCACCCGCTTGGGGTTGTCTTCTGGTGGGTAGAGTTGATTCTCACACGTGCCCATGCTGGTGGCCACCTCGAGCGCCAAAGGTGCCAGGGCAAACCAGCCCAAGAAGGCTAGGAAGAAGGAAATGGTGGAAGCCCAGAATGCCCTCATGTGCGGATTCTGCTGAACCGTGCCACATACGCGAAGCAACGCCAATTCTGTTGCCTTGTTGTTCTTGTCCACTGCCAACTTGAAGTCCGGCATGTTTTTTGCGAAGGCGGGCCGACTGCAACTGCCGCTTGAGTCTCGAAAAATGACAAAAATGGCTGCGAAGCTTCCGTGTTTGCTCACAACCAGAATCATCCAAGCCATTCCAAGCCTGCAGTGGCATCAAAGCTCCTTCTGAAAGGATCAAATCAACTCTTGTACCGCCTGTACTATCTATTTCATAATGCATTACACAGTCCAATACAAGTACAAATACTGTAAACCTCTCAGCAACACAGCGACACACTGCGTATAAATTCAAATGGAAAAGACGCCGTTTGGCTGTAGATGTAGCCATGCAAGAGAGACTCTCCATGCGGTTTGCCCCAAGCTGCTCAAGTTCCTTTTCGCGCTGAAGTCAGCCTATTAGCGACGTTGGTGCTCATCTGCCAGAAACAAAATGATCCCGCACTCCATGCAAAGGATCATTCTGGGCAGCAAAGCATGCCTTCTGCATGACTGTCCTTTGCTGTCCTTGGAAAGGTTGTCCCTGGGAAATTCAGAGCTACCCAAATCATGCCAAACTCGATACGGTATTTTCTGCAAACGTCCTGCACTCCATGCAAAGGATCATTCTGGGCAGCAAAGCATGCCTTCTGCATGACTGTCCTTTGCTGTCCTTGGAAAGGTTGTCCCTGGGAAACTCAGAGCTACCCAAATCATGCCAAACTCGATACGGTATTTTCTGCAAACGTCCTGCACTCCATGCAAAGGATCATTCTGGCCAGCAAAGCATGCCTTCTGCATGACTGTCCTTTGCTGGCTTCGGAAGAATTGTTTCTTCAAAACTTAGATGTGAAAAAAAAAACATGCCAAACTTTATACGGTAGTTTCTGTGGATTCTGCAGCCTGGGGCTTCTTCCCAGCTGGCTCAGGCGTCTTATCTACAGACGTCTTATCCACAGATGTCTTTTCCACAGCTGGGCCATGGAACATGCCCCCATGCTCACGCCAGTAGTAGCAAGGGGACAGCAAAGCCCAAAACATCACATAGCCTGCATGGACCTGGAAAGGAAGCAGCGGATCGTTGATGGGTTTGTAGAAGCAAAACCCAGCGATAACAGCTCCCAAATTTCCGCCAGCCCCAACCAGTGCAGACACCACGGCCAGCTGCTGCTTGTTCATGAAAGGCACAATCCCGTAGCTTGTACCTTCTGCCATCTGGACAAAGAGGGAGAAACAAATCAGCACGGCCAAGGCAACATACCATGGCTGCGAGCTGTCCACCATACCAAAGCAGAAGAGGAAGACCGCTTCAAAGAAAAGGGCCAAGAATTGCGCCCAAATGCGACCTCGGAAACCAACGTACTTGAAGAGGATGTCACTGGTGATGCCTCCCAGGGACCTAGCAAACAGGTTCATGAGGCCAAAAGCTCCTGCCAAGGCTGATGCATCTGCCGCATCCATTTGGAAATAGGTCCTGAAATGGGTGGCCAGTTGGTTGTTCATGGCGAGTTCCGTGCCGAAACATGCACTGTATTGAAAAATCATCACAATGACACGGATGTCTTTCAGCACCACGACATAGTCCCACAAAGATGGTTTCTGGGTCTTACCCGTCACAGACACATCGAAGCGCTTGGCCGTGGGTGTGTCCCAGCACAAGAGTTTCATGGTGGCTGCGCAAATCAGGAAAAGGATAGCAGGAACAATCATGGCAACTCGCCAGGCAGTGTTTGCTGGCATGCCAGAACTCACCATAGGATTGAACAGCACAGAGATCATAAAAATCTGTGTAACACCGCCACCCAAGTTCCCCCAGCCAGCTGCTGTGGCATTCGCCGTGCCAACCACGTTTGGGGAAAACATCAAAGAGCACCAAAACTGGTTGGTGACAAAGGTAGCTCCTGCAGGGTTTGTCCTTCGAAAAATCCATTCAAATCGAATTTTTGACAATGGCCTATGGGTGCTGGAAAAATTGTTGTTTGGTAGTCGGTTGGCTGCTGGCTGCTGGTGGTGGTGGCTGGTGGCCGATGGGTGTGGACCGGTGGCATGCTCACCCTCCGAATATTGGAAAAGAACTTGAACAAGTAATTAGCGTGAGCATAGAACACATCAGAAACGAGTCTTCCTGGAACAAGCTATACACATTGTCCATGGTCTGTACCACATCTTGGCACGATGATATTTGTTCTCAATCATGGTCCGTTTAAATATCGTTTGACCCAAGACTGAGACTGTCTGGGATTCATCCCGCTCCTGCGCACCCAATGAAGAAGCGGATCAAGGTGTAGTTCCAGGGCGCTGTAATGGCTGCAGCCATTGCAACCCAGAAAGCTCCAAAGGTCATCAGGCCTGATTGGACATTCACAGGCCCAAATCGCTCCAACAACGTGCCAAGTGCGATGCGTACGAAAATGGTCGATGCCACAGCAGCCACTCCTGCATTTGCGATGATGTCTTTGCACTCAGTTCCCGGGGTGCAAACACAGTCCGCCAGCACCCCCGGTCGGTACTGCATCTTCTCGTCTGCAGTCCCACTCGCTAAAATGTCCTGTGGCACGGGATTGCAGTCTGTGGGATTGGTGTCATCATTCTTGCCGTACTGGCAGTACGCTTTGCCTGTCTTGAGTGACTTGTACTTCAGGTAGGCCACCCGCTTGGGGTTGTCTTCTGGTGGGTAAAGTTGATTCTCACACGTGCCCATGCTGGTGGCCACCTCGAGCGCCAAAGGTGCCAGGGCAAACCAGCCCAAGAAGGCTAGGAAGAAGGAAATGGTGGAAGCCCAGAATGCCCTCATGTGCGGATTCTGCTGAACTGTGCCACATACGCGAAGCAACGCCAATTCTGTTGCCTTGTTGTTCTTGTCCACTGCCAACTTGAAGTCCGGCATGTTTTTTGCGAAGGCGGGCCGACTGCAACTGCCGCTTGAGTCTCGAAAAATGACAAAAATGGCTGCGAAGCTTCCATGTTTGCTCACAACTTTTCCAGAATCATCCAAGCCATTCCAAGCCTGCAGCGACATCAAAGCTCCTTCTGAGAAGGATCAAATCAACTCTTGTACCACCTGTACTATCTATTTCATAATACATTACACAGTCCAATACAAGTACAAATACTGTAAACCTCTCAGCAACACAGCGACACACTGCCTATAAATTCAAATGGAAAAGACCGCGTTTGCCTGTAGATGTGGCCATGCAAGAGAGACTCTCCATGCGGTTTGCCCCAAGCTTCTAAAGTTCCTTTTCGCGCTAAAGTCAGCCTATTAGCGACGTTGGTGCTCATCCGCCAGAAACAAAATGATCCCGCACTCCATGCAAAGGATCATTCTGGGCAGCAAAGCATGCCTTCTGCATGACTGTCCTTTGCTGTCCTTGGAAAGGTTGTCCCTGGGAAACTCAGAGCTACCCAAATCATGCCAAACTCGATACGGTATTTTCTGCAAACGTCCTGCACTCCATGCAAAGGATCATTCTGGGCAGCAAAGCATGCCTTCTGCATGACTGTCCTTTGCTGTCCTTGGAAAGGTTGTCCCTGGGAAACTCAGAGCTACCCAAATCATGCCAAACTCGATACGGTATTTTCTGCAAACGTCCTGCACTCCATGCAAAGGATCATTCTGGCCAGCAAAGCATGCCTTCTGCATGACTGTCCTTTGCTGGCTTCGGAAGAATTGTTTCTTCAAAACTTAGATGTGAAAAAAAACATGCCAAACTTTATACGGTAGTTTCTGTGGATTCTGCAGCCTGGGGCTTCTTCCCAGCTGGCTCAGGCGTCTTATCTACAGACGTCTTATCCACAGATGTCTTATCCACAGCTGGGCCGTGGAACATGCCCCCATGCTCACGCCAGTAGTAGCAAGGGGACAGCAAAGCCCAAAACATGACATAGCCTGCATGGACCTGGAAAGGAAGCAGCGGATCGTTGATGGGTTTGTAGAAGCAAAACCCAGCGATAACAGCTCCCAAATTTCCGCCAGCCCCAACCAGTGCAGACACCACGGCCAGCTGCTGCTTGTTCATGAAAGGCACAATCCCGTAGCTTGTACCTTCTGCCATCTGGACAAAGAGGGAGAAACAAATCAGCACGGCCAAGGCAACATACCATGGCTGCGAGCTGTCCACCATACCAAAGCAGAAGAGGAAGACCGCTTCAAAGAAAAGGGCCAAGAATTGCGCCCAAATGCGACCTCGGAAACCAACGTACTTGAAGAGGATGTCACTGGTGATGCCTCCCAGGGACCTAGCAAACAGGTTCATGAGGCCAAAAGCTCCTGCCAAGGCTGATGCATCTGCCGCATCCATTTGGAAATAGGTCCTGAAATGGGTGGCCAGTTGGTTGTTCATGGCGAGTTCGGTGCCGAAACATGCACTGTATTGAAAAATCATCACAATGACACGGATGTCTTTCAGCACCACGACATAGTCCCACAAAGATGGTTTCTGGGTCTTACCAGTCACAGACACATCGAAGCGCTTGGCCGTGGGTGTGTCCCAGCACAAGAGTTTCATGGTGGCTGCGCAAATCAGGAAAAGGACAGCAGGAACAATCATGGCAACTCGCCAGGCAGTGTTTGCTGGCATGCCAGAACTCACCATTGGATTGAACAGCACAGAGATCATAAAAATCTGTGTAACACCGCCACCCAAGTTCCCCCAGCCAGCTGCTGTGGCATTGGCCGTGCCAACCACGTTTGGGGAAAACATCAAAGAGCACCAAAACTGGTTGGTGACAAAGGTAGCTCCTGCAGGGTTTGTCCTTCGAAAAATCCATTCAAATCGAATTTTTGACAATGGCCTATGGGTGCTGGAAAAATTGTTGTTTGGTAGTCGGTTGGCTGCTGGCTGCTGGTGGTGGTGGCTGGTGGCCGATGGGTGTGGACCGGTGGCATGCTCACCCTCCGAATATTGGAAAAGAACTTGAACAAGTAATTAGCGTGAGCATAGAACACATCAGAAACGAGTCTTCCTGGAACAAGCTATACACATTGTCCATGGTCTGTACCACATCTTGGCACGATGATATTTGTTCTCAATCATGGTCCGTTTAAATATCGTTTGACCCAAGACTGAGACTGTCTGGGATTCATCCCGCTCCTGCGCACCCAATGAAGAAGCGGATCAAGGTGTAGTTCCAGGGCGCTGTAATGGCTGCAGCCATTGCAACCCAGAAAGCTCCAAAGGTCATCAGGCCTGATTGGACATTCACAGGCCCAAATCGCTCCAACAACGTGCCAAGTGCGATGCGTACGAAAATGGTCGATGCCACAGCAGCCACTCCTGCATTTGCGATGATGTCTTTGCACTCAGTTCCCGGGGTGCAAACACAGTCCGCCAGCACCCCCGGTCGGTACTGCATCTTCTCGTCTGCAGTCCCACTCGCTAAAATGTCCTGTGGCACGGGATTGCAGTCTGTGGGATTGGTGTCATCATTCTTGCCGTACTGGCAGTACGCTTTGCCTGTCTTGAGTGACTTGTACTTCAGGTAGGCCACCCGCTTGGGGTTGTCTTCTGGTGGGTAAAGTTGATTCTCACACGTGCCCATGCTGGTGGCCACCTCGAGCGCCAAAGGTGCCAGGGCAAACCAGCCCAAGAAGGCTAGGAAGAAGGAAATGGTGGAAGCCCAGAATGCCCTCATGTGCGGATTCTGCTGAACTGTGCCACATACGCGAAGCAACGCCAATTCTGTTGCCTTGTTGTTCTTGTCCACTGCCAACTTGAAGTCCGGCATGTTTTTTGCGAAGGCGGGCCGACTGCAACTGCCGCTTGAGTCTCGAAAAATGACAAAAATGGCTGCGAAGCTTCCATGTTTGCTCACAACTTTTCCAGAATCATCCAAGCCATTCCAAGCCTGCAGCGACATCAAAGCTCCTTCTGAGAAGGATCAAATCAACTCTTGTACCACCTGTACTATCTATTTCATAATACATTACACAGTCCAATACAAGTACAAATACTGTAAACCTCTCAGCAACACAGCGACACACTGCCTATAAATTCAAATGGAAAAGACCGCGTTTGCCTGTAGATGTGGCCATGCAAGAGAGACTCTCCATGCGGTTTGCCCCAAGCTTCTAAAGTTCCTTTTCGCGCTAAAGTCAGCCTATTAGCGACGTTGGTGCTCATCCGCCAGAAACAAAATGATCCCGCACTCCATGCAAAGGATCATTCTGGGCAGCAAAGCATGCCTTCTGCATGACTGTCCTTTGCTGTCCTTGGAAAGGTTGTCCCTGGGAAACTCAGAGCTACCCAAATCATGCCAAACTCGATACGGTATTTTCTGCAAACGTCCTGCACTCCATGCAAAGGATCATTCTGGCCAGCAAAGCATGCCTTCTGCATGACTGTCCTTTGCTGGCTTCGGAAGAATTGTTTCTTCAAAACTTAGATGTGAAAAAAAACATGCCAAACTTTATACGGTAGTTTCTGTGGATTCTGCAGCCTGGGGCTTCTTCCCAGCTGGCTCAGGCGTCTTATCTACAGACGTCTTATCCACAGATGTCTTATCCACAGCTGGGCCGTGGAACATGCCCCCATGCTCACGCCAGTAGTAGCAAGGGGACAGCAAAGCCCAAAACATGACATAGCCTGCATGGACCTGGAAAGGAAGCAGCGGATCGTTGATGGGTTTGTAGAAGCAAAACCCAGCGATAACAGCTCCCAAATTTCCGCCAGCCCCAACCAGTGCAGACACCACGGCCAGCTGCTGCTTGTTCATGAAAGGCACAATCCCGTAGCTTGTACCTTCTGCCATCTGAACAAAGAGGGAGAAACAAATCAGCACGGCCAAAGCAACATACCATGGCTGCGAGCTGTCCACCATACCAAAGCAGAAGAGGAAGACCGCTTCAAAGAAAAGGGCCAAGAATTGCGCCCAAATGCGGCCTCGGAAACCAACGTACTTGAAGAGGATGTCACTGGTGATGCCTCCCAGGGACCTAGCAAACAAGTTCATGAGGCCAAAAGCTCCTGCCAAGGCTGATGCATCTGCCGCATCCATTTGGAAATAGGTCCTGAAATGGGTGGCCAGTTGGTTGTTCATGGCGAGTTCGGTGCCGAAACATGCACTGTATTGAGAAATCATCACAATGACGCGGATGTCTTTCAGCACCACTACATAGTCCCACAAAGATGGTTTCTGGGTCTTACCAGTCACAGACACATCGAAGCGCTTGGCCGTGGGTGTGTCCCAACACAAGAGTTTCATGGTGGCTGCGCAGATCAGGAAGAGGACAGCAGGAACGATCATGGCAACTCGCCAGGCAGTGTTTGCTGGCATGCCAGAACTCACCATTGGATTGAACAGCACTGAAATCATAAAGATCTGTGTAACACCGCCGCCCAAGTTCCCCCAGCCAGCTGCTGTGGCATTGGCCGTGCCAACCACGTTTGGGGAAAACATCAAAGAGCACCAGAACTGGTTGGTGACAAAGGTAGCTCCTGCAGGGTTTGTCCTCGAAAAATCATTCCATGCTGAAAACAAATCCAAAAAATAAGAATTATAGAAAATGGCCTACGGGTGCTGGAAAAAATGTTGTTTGGTAGTCGGTTGGCTGCTGGTGGTGGTGGTGGCTGGTGGCCGATGGGTGGGGACTGGTGACATGCTCACACTCCGAATATTGGAAAAGAACGTGAACAAGTGCAGTAATTGGCGTGAGCACGGAACAAATCAGAAAAGATTCTTGCTGGAACAAGCTGTACACATCGCCCATGGTCTGTACCACATTTTGGCACGATGATATTCGTTCTCAATCATGGTTCGTTTAACCCGAAACTGTCTGGGATTCATCCCGCTCCTGCGCACCCAATGAAGAAGCGGATTAAGGTGTAGTTCCAGGGCGCTGTAATGGCTGCAGCCATTGCAACCCAGAAAGCTCCAAAGGTCATCAGGCCTGATTGGACATTCACAGGCCCAAATCGCTCCAACAACGTACCGAGTGCGATGCGTACAAAAATGGTCGATGCCACAGCAGTCACTCCTGCATTTGCGATGATGTCTTTGCACTCAGTTCCCGGGGTGCAAACACAGTCCGCCAGCACCCCTGGTCGGTACTGCATCTTCTCGTCTGCAGTCCCACTCGCTAAAATGTCCTGTGGCACGGGATTGCAGTCTGTGGGATTGGTGTCATCATTCTTGCCGTACTGGCAGTACGCTTTGCCTGTCTTGAGTGACTTGTACTTCAGGTAGGCCACCCGCTTGGGGTTGTCTTCTGGTGGGTAGAGTTGATTCTCACACGTGCCCATGCTGGTGGCCACCTCGAGCGCCAAAGGTGCCAGGGCAAACCAGCCCAAGAAGGCTAGGAAGAAGGAAATGGTGGAAGCCCAGAATGCCCTCATGTGCGGATTCTGCTGAACCGTGCCACATACGCGAAGCAACGCCAATTCTGTTGCCTTGTTGTTCTTGTCCACTGCCAACTTGAAGTCCGGCATGTTTTTTGCGAAGGCGGGCCGACTGCAACTGCCGCTTGAGTCTCGAAAAATGACAAAAA